GAAAAAGTCATTCAAATTTTACTACTTTAAACGAAATCCAAATCTGTTAACTTATTTCTTTGGATTTCTATAGCTCGTTCATGCCTTACCCCAACTTTTGTGACCTTCAAAGAGCTATGGGAAAACCAAAAAATATGTTATCTGAGTGACAAGTTACGCCTAAATTTTATAAGTTGAGGACTAGATCAAGATCTGTAATTGTATTTAAAGAAATGGACTTGATCTTTGATGTCAACTTTTATAATATGCGACGTAACATTCCTTTTTCTTATTTTTATCTTTTAGAACGTCGACGTTTCTTAGAATTCGACGTAAAAAAACTTCAAGGATTTAAAAAAAAAACATAATAACATTAAAAAAAAGGAAAAATATGAAAATATAACCACGAAAATTATATATTAAAATTTCAAACAGAGTTCAAACATATAAAAATATACTAAAATATATTAAAATATTACATTAATTTCAGAAAAATAAACTAAAATGGACTCTTCTTCCTAATCTGAGTCAGATGTCTCCATAGACTCATCTTCTGTTGTGCCGTTTTCATCATCAGATTCACTTGCCGATGGAGTTCTGAGAGCATTGTCTTCATCTAATTTCTTGTGAATCATGATAAGAGATTTTTCAACTTTTGAAATTCTTGTTAAAAGCTTTCGAAATTGATCCACAACAAATCTTTCAAACTCAGTGGGTGAAGTGAAGGTAGAAGGAGTTTCGTCAACATCCTTGAACACCCAGCCATCTTTTATTTTCTTTAGACCATTAAAGGCCAATGTCGCTTTTCCTATTTCATTTGATTCGGTGCACCAAATATTTTTTTCACCAGTAAGATCAACTTGATGATGCTTCAATACACTGCTGATAAAAACACCATATGGCAGAATATGTCCATGACTACTTGCAATTTCAATCATGTGCTCACTCATAATAGCAACCCAGTTGGTTGGTATCCGAGTTTTTATGGCATGAACCAAAAATAAATCTTCAGTAGTTAGACGATCACGTAAACATCTTCCAGGTAGTACCCAAGTAAGTACAAAAGCACACATTTTTTCTTCCATTTTCAAGCCATTAAGTAGATACGGCTTGTATACCTTTAGCCTTTTTGGACTTCTCAGATATTCCTTATAAATTTTCTTCTTGTTGGTCCATTGGTTGAGTTCAGAATTTCTTTAATGAGACATGAAGCCTTCTGCTTTAAGACCAGTAAAAGATAGTCATATTTCATCATCAATTTTAATGTCGACACCTTTCCCCCAAGAGCATATAACACCATCGACAACCTTCATATTGTGGTAGAAGACTTACCAGGTCAGGATAGCAATCATCGGTCATTTCTACAAATTTTGCAATCACTCGACGTTGATGAAATTATATTATTGGGCTATATATAAGATTGAAAATTTTAGTTGGGCCTGAAACTGATAAGATTTGATGCACAACTTTATAAATACTTGATTTGAAAACGCACTCAGTGTTTTCTAAACTGAAGAGTTACAAACCCTATAAATGTGAAAGACGTTCCAGAATCTAATCACAAATGGCTTCTTCTTCATCAAGAAGAAAATGGAAGGTTGTCCTTATTGAAAGGAATGTTGATCCTACAGGTTGGATTAGTGATGAAGACATTCGGGGAAGCTTTTTAGTCTAAGGAAGATTAAAAATGTGGTTTCTCACAGAGATCTTCAACTAGTTAGGGTGTTCTACTCCAACTTAAAGATGAGTGATGAAACATTTTGTAACACAATCAAGGGGGTTGATATAAAGCTGATCAAAGAGGTTTGGATTGGGATTGTGGTTTTTCAACCTATCAAGATAGAAGGCTTTCTCTTCCAAAAATTGATTGGTCATCAAGGACTTATTGGATTCACCATGATAAAAAATGATGATCATCAGCAAGTCTATCCCATCTTTGAATCTTGGAGTGCAAACAAAACAGATTTGAAAAAAAACTAAAGAAGATGAGAGGGCTAGATGGTTATGTGGTGAAAATAGATTGTATGTCAGAATCGCTCAAAAAGATACTTGGGACTCAAGTAAATTGAAAGCTGAAACAGTCATTGACAAAAGACTCTAAGGATTGAAAAATCACCGATCAAAATGGAAAGGAAGGTGATGTAAACAACCAGAAAGGGATCAACAATAATTCTGCAACAGAAGAATATGGATTTTCGTTATTTGATTTTAATTTTGTAATCAATGGCTTCTTAAGTCATCTTTTTGTTTTGCTTGTTGTAATCATCTTTTGAATATTAATAAAATTCTCTTTTGGCAATAACATTAGTGAATGGTGATTGAATTATTTAAATTGATTAAATCACTTGTATGATTGTAATTGAACATTTTAACGTTACATCATTACATTGAATATACCATTGCACTCTTTTTGGTTTTTTTTTCTTTTAGAACACCAATAGTGCGTCGAGTGGTAAAGCTACTCGACGTAATATTAATAGAAAAAGTTTTGAAACGAAGAGGTTAACGTCATTCTGCAGACTTCGACGTATTATTGTCAGCCAGATTACTCCCTTTTTATTTCTTTTTCCTTTAAACCAACAATAAACGTCAAATTTCTTGGGCATGTGATGTATTATTCGTTAACCAAACCCAAAGATCGCTCCCTTTTTTTTATTTATCCTTTTTAAATTCAAATAGAAAGTCCAACTTTATATGGGAAAATGTAGTTTATTGGGCTTGATAAATGTTGTGTTAGAAACGAAGAGATCCACATCATATACTGACACCACTCAACGTCCAGGTATATGGGAAAAGACTGTTGGCAGGGCATGATAAATGCTACGTTAAAACAAAGAGATACACGTCCAATATTGACACCACTCGACGTCCACGTTATTTGGGAAATACATAGGGACGTCATTTTCCTTCAGTATTCGACGTAAAATTATTCGAAGGATTTATAAAAGAAATCTATCATTACGTAGGTTCATAAATGGAAACGAAACAAAGGAAAAACATAATAACACTAAACATAGGAAAAATTAAAAATCAAACGATGAAAAGATTTGCGTGATTGTTAAAATGTAGAAGGATTTTTGTGAATGGAGGTTGTAGCATTTTGAAAGGGTACAAAATTCAAATCTTTCAACCTTTTTCTTTGTTTTTCTATCACTCTTTCGAGCTCTTCGCCAAGACAAATAATCAAACTACAAGGAAATTACTCGCTTTGGTGAACTTGAAAGAGATGATAGAGAAACAAAGAAGAAAGTTAACAGACTGTTACGAGATATTTGGTGAATGGAGGTTGTAGCGTTTTGAAAGGGTGCGAAATCCAAATCTCTCAACCTTTTTCTTTGGATTTCTATTACTTTTTCAAGCTTTGCACAAAGAATCAAACAACAAAGAAATGACTCATTTGTATGACCTTGGAAAAAATAATAGAAAAACAAAGAAAAGAAGTTAACAGATTGTTAGGAGAAATTTTATGAATGGTGTACAGGTTATCGAAGTCTCCGAAACTATATTTATAGAAAAAGAATAACTGCTTTTGTTACAGAATTAATGCGCCAAACTACTCCAATGCCAATCACGTCAAATTAGGAAGCGGTTCATCGTTAATATACAGTGGGACGTCGAGTTCTACACGGGTACGATGTAAAACTCCTTTTACGTGAAAAAAAAAAGAAAAGCATAATAACACTAAACATAGGAAAAAAAATGAAAATTTAAATGGAGGTTGTAGCATTTTGAAAGGGTGCGAAATCCAAATGTATCAACCTCTTCTTTCTGTTTCTATCACTCCTTCAAGCTTTTCAACAGACAAACAATCAAAACCACAAAGAAATGACTCATTTTTGTCACCTTGAAAGAGCATATTCACGTCAATTATTAACAAAATTGGACGTCCGCTATAGAGTCTGTTTTAAATTCATAAGTGTTAAAATTTTCATATGGTTTTCTACCATGCCTTCATCGTTAACAAAGTCTTCGTTTAGTAGAGGAATCGATAGCAAACCAAAGGAAAAAGTTAACATGAATTTTTTTACGAAAGTTCTGTAGTTTAGTGAAGGAGAAGTAGCGTTTTGAAAGGATGCAAAATCCAAATCTATCAACCTTTTCCTTTGGCTTTCTATACTTCTTCAAGCTTTTTTGTGTCCTTGAAGGGGATAACAGAAAACACAAAGAAAAAATTAACAAATGGAGTTCATAGCAGAAATTTTATAAATGGATGTCTACACTCCGAAATTGTATTTATAGAAAAAAAAAGAATGACTGTTGTGAAAGGCCTGATGTGGGGTGACCTTTGGCTTCAATAATAAAAGGCAGTCCGAAGGTAAAGGTCGCTCCTTTTTTTCTTTTTCCTTTTTAAATTCCTATAGAACGTCGAACTCTAGGGGACTTCGACATGAAAGGTTTGTGAGAATTCATTTTGTGCTGTTACCGAAGGTTTTGAATTGACTCTATAAATATAATGCTTAACTCTATTCAATTGCACAGTTTGATCCAACCCCAACTCGAACGACGTTATATATTGGTTTAAACGTCGAGCCCATAAAGTAGGCGATGTTCTGTTTGGTTTATAAGAGAAAAAAAAATAAAGAATAAAAAAGGGATTCACTTGCTGGCATATAAAACGTCGCATATTTGTCATGGTTGACGTCAAATGTGGGTAGGAGTAATACTGACTGGAAGCAAATCACTATTTCAGTATTTTTTTTATTTTGAATTGAATGTCAGATGTTTCTTAAGTTGACGTTATGTGATTCTAAGGTCATTGTTTTACGTCTATCTGGGCCTTGTTTGACGTTAATACATTTTAGATGGCACATTGTTTTAGTAAATGACGTGGAGCGATTGAACTTATTTACGAAAATGTCACCCACCATTTTTAGCGTTGGATATTGAGTGGTTGGATGTTGAACGCGTGACGTTATACGCGGTTTTTGCACTAGTGAAGGCTGATCAAGCATGGCTAGCATAAAGAATCCCATTTTTGAACATACAATGGAACTCATTATTCCATACACATAACACTAACTTTTCAACGTTTATAGATATTCGAACACATCAAAGTAGAGAATGAATACATACTTAGGAATTTATGACATATATGAATGCAGAATTGATTTTAACCTTCACATTTCGAACACGTAAGTACATATGAGCATATACCTCACTTTTAATTTCCTTTAATAGTTCACTTTCCTGCAATTAACACGAACTTCACCTTGATCCCCAGTAAGAGGCTGAATATTTCCCATCTTGATAATAGAATTGGCGAAGTCTTGGAAGAAAGCTTGGTTGTCGTAGCTGTACTGTTGGACAAGTGAATCAGTAGAACCACCATTGAAGAGTTCTTGATCAGAGTGAAGAACTCCATTCTTGTTAACCAAATTAGAGTAGTAGGATACGTCAAAATTCGCGGCTGTTGAGTCCAAAGGAGCAAGGTTTTGGTCACCACCATTTATAGGGCAAATGTATTTGAGATATTGTGCAAAGTTGGGATCGATGTTTGAATCATTGTAGATATGAGCCTTGAAGTTAATACAACGTGCATATCCAATGGTGTGGCCTCCAGAAAGAACAACAAGATCCTTCTCATCAAGACCATGGTTCTTGAAGTTGGTGATGAGTTCAGAGAGGCTGAAAAATGGTGCCGGAATGTTTGCATTTGCTGCTTCACGGCTTGCTGTGGTGGAGTCTCTTCTTCCCAGTTGCACTTCCCAGGTTGGCCCACCTAACTGCATGGGAACATGCACATAATCATTGTTCACAGTTCACAACTTGTTTCATTCACATCTAGTAATAGAAAAGAAAAATATTATTTCGAACACTTAATTTTAACATTTATTTGATGTTATCTTTTTTATATTATTTTTTTAAAATATACAAAAATTTATATTATGATTATTTTACCTTTGTATTTTGTGTTAAGTGAATGTAAAAAAGAATGGAATAATTATTTCAATTCCAAATTCTCTCCTACTTTCAATTTACACTTTAAAAAATTATTATTTTATTATAATATTTAGTTTATATTTATTATTATTATATTAATATGATATTATATTGAAATTTGGTATCAAATCACCTTTTCCTTATAAAAAGGTACGGGGCGATATTGAACATGGACATAATACAGATTTGAGGGACTGAAAGTTCACACTTATATATATACATATACATGTATAAACACACACATATATAATATATATATATATATATATATATATATATATATA